TTGCTACAAGGATAGTAGTTGCAGAAATGATATATATTAAGATGTATTTTTCGTTGAACTACAAAGCAAATATAGAAAACTGTGTTTTGACACAAAATATTAAAGCCCTACTATATCCACCATAGACAAATGTTGTTGGTAGAGAGTGACAGGGCCCCTGAAATGAAGTTTTCAGGCCAGGAAATTCAAAGTGACTGTGGTCTCCCTCTTGTGCTCTGTTCTCTGGGGATCCTGGAAACCTCTTCGGGGGAGAAGTTTGTAGCAGACCTGACCGCAGGTGGTTCTTTTGCTAAAAAGCTTTGTGTCTTCTCCCACCTTATCCTGGGGCTGGCTCAGTAGTTTTGGAAAACCACACAAGATTAAATTTCAGTTACTCAGAAAACTGAACCTTTCAGAAAAAGTTCTCAGTAGGAATTCCTACCTAAATCAGTAGCCTAGAACTTTCGGAATCATCTGAAATCCAAAGGATCTTATACAAGAGCTTCCCAGAATGAATCAGAACACATTCAGACTAGAAACGGTTCCCTTTCCAAAATAAATAGCTTGGATCTTCTAAAGCGGTATTTCTCTAAAATCTTTTGACTGCAACTGGGACTTTGTATGCAGATTTGTATATATATTTATGTATTGGAATCAGTTGTTTTCTTTTTTTTCCCATCTCTTCCTAAAACATTTACTGCAAGATAGCTCTGCTGCAACACTATTTAATTGACCATATTGTCTCTTAACTTTGTGTGGTTTTCACATGTGATTGCACTTAATTAGGGGGGCGAAGGAGGTAAAAAGTTGATGAAAATCCTGAATAAAGCTACAAGTTGTTGAGCCATTTCTTTTCCTCCCATGGTTTCCTTGTGGCTGAGATATCCTTTTGGAGTTTTAATAGAGGCGCTCCTCACCCCTGCCCTGTCTCAGTGACTGTTCCTGTATCCCAGGAGCCTTCTCCCCTCCCATCCCGGATAGTTAAGCATGAATTGCAGAAGGATTTGGGGGAGAGAGGAGTCACTTCAGAGCATGAAACATGTACCATCCATGTATAGCACAGGAAAGGGGAAGGATGTGACAGGAGATTAGCGATAAAACCACTTTTTTCCTTTTAACATGGAGAGTAATGAGGAAGGTATGCGAGGCGGCAAGAGACCAGATACAGTGCAGAGCCACTTATTAGGTGTCCCCTTCTGCTTTTCTCCCATCACCTCCAGCTATGCCAGGCCCCAGGTGCAGAAAGATCAATGATTGAATTCCCCTTAAAGTTTATAAGAATCTGAGCATAAAAAGGATCTGCTTGCATTTCCCAGATGCAACCTAGTGGAGAAAGCTTTAGAGAGAATTTCTCAATGCCATCTGATGGTGGTGGGGGTAGGGGAGGACAAGCTGTGTCTAACATAAGAGGGCTGGAAATGGCCTCTTGAGATTTCCAAGCTCCACGGTTGCTTGGGAGGCATTGTATGGTCCTGTGAGTTTCGAGTGAAAGTGAGTACCTGGAAGAGAGGACCAGTGGATCTACATACAGTATCCTGTTGGGACTGAAGGGATAACATCCGAATAATGCCTTTGTGAATAGGCCCTATTGGTAGGGAAGGCTCAGCTGTAATCTCAACAGATTGCTCTGCCTGGGAATTCATTAGAAAACAAGCCATCATCAACCAATTAAACTCTTGTTACTTTAAATATGATCTGAGGGCCACCATCAATGACACCACCTGGGAGTTCGTTAGAAATGTGGAATCTCCATCTCATACCTGCTGAATCAGAATCTGCATTTTAGCAAGATCTCCAGGTGATTAGAATGCACATTAAAGTTTGAGAAACCTTAGACTATGTTATCTGGGCTGCCATTCACCAACACGTAAGCCAGACCTTGTTGAGGCACAAGATTGTTGAGATGATATTCTCTTCCTATTTGTCACACAGCAACAAACTTCTCCCCTGTCTTAACCCTAGAAATTAAGATAAGCCGCAGGGAGATAGGGGAGGAAGAAAAACTTTTGAGGAAGAATCTGGATGTGATTAAAATAAAAATGTGAAATAACTAAGAAATCACTGATTTTGACAAAGTTTATGTGCAAAGAACCAGATAAGTTTTCTATATCAGGCAGAATGGGACTAACAGTCAAAAAATTAAAAACAATTATAACAAAATAAAGTTAGTTTTCTTAATTACCTGAGCTTTGACTGGGAAATTCATAATCCCTAAACTCTTCTCTTTTCCAATTGTTGTCATCACTAGAATGAGATTAGCTTGTATCTCCTCCCCTGCACTTCCTGCTAGGGCACAGAGGAGTGATTTGAGCATCGCCCAGTGGACAGATGGACTGCTGGAGGGAGGAGGCGGAAAACACAAGTTGCCACTAGTCTATTCCTCTAAGAAATATCTGGGTATCAAGACCACAGAAGTATAAATAGAAGAGGAGGAGCATTTTGGGAAAATGTCATTGGATACTGTGAGGATAATGCAATAGGAGAGGAAAATGTGTCTTTGGGAATCGAGAAAAGGAGCTGAAGGCAATTAGAGATGTCATTCTCGTTGCCAGCCTTCCCTTGGGGCCACATGCCCTTTCTGATAGGGATACAGCTATTGTGACTGGAAATGCCTGTCTACATAAGATGGAACATTTAGTCTGTTCATTCTGGATACCCCATGGTACAGCCTTATATACAGCATTATTTCCATTCTCTCCATCCCTTCATCCAAATTCAAAACATAGTAAGCTTTGGAAAGAAATGAGATTAGTTTGAATGGCATTTTGAAAATTTATGAATTAAAACAATAGCTTAGTTTTTGTTTTGCCTTTAGACTTATGGTAAGTAATTAGCAAAAGATATGCAAAATATTGGTACCCTGAAAATATTGGAAAAGAAAATGATTCAAATAATTTATTTTATTAGAGCCAAGAAGAAATGGGAGCAAGTAAACCTGGAGATTGAGAGAAGAGAAAAACGAGAAAAGAGAAAAGTGCCAGACCTCATTTGATTTACAATCAAAAATGAAAATTCAAAGAATGAGATATTGAAGTACTCCATAGTATATACTGGGTAGCCAAAGATGATAAAATGCAAATTCTGAAAATAAGATGCAGGACGTACATTGTGCTCTTTCAAAACTGATAAAAATGCAAATTTCAAACAGTTGCCTGTGTATTTCTATAGGTCTGGAATTCATTTGATGCATTGCCACAGACATTTAATAAAATTTAAAAGTTTGACAATTAAAATCATTCTTTAATTGTAAATTAAGTTAGATTGCACAGATTTAGGAGTACAGTTGTGCCTTTGATCTCTGTTTCACAGTATTCTTTACAGAAGAAAATTCACATTTTCTTTCTTTACCTAGGTTTTAAGCTGGGCCTTCAGCGATAATAACAGATAAAGTGTAAACAAATTCAATAAAGTCCCTGGGTTACAGTTCGGTGATGAGCATGTTAGTAGAATTCCAATAGGAAATACACTTCGATGTGTTGTAGAAATGGACAGATTGGTTTTTTACGCAGGGCAGTCGCTAAACAATGTCTTTTAATGGGCAACTACAAAATCTATCTGCTGAGACATGCTACATTCAAAACT